TTTCTTTCTTTCTTTCTTTCTTTCTTTCTTTCTTTCTTTCTTTCTTTCTTTCTTTCTTTCTTCCTTTCTTTCTTTCATCCAAATTGTGTTTATTGGAACGGTTTCTCACTCATCTTGATTCAGGGTACTTTTAGTGCTGCTTCCTCCTGAAGGTACATCCTTGTGTAAGCTGTGCTTTTCTGCTTGTAGGCTGACAAGACAGTGGAGTAGCCAACACAGAAGGCTACCGTTTGTGCATGGCTAAAGACCGTGGTGATTAAATAGCATCCTGGGTATTTTACATCCATGAAGTAGGAATTGGGGCTCTGCATCAGACGCTTCTCCTTGTGTTTCCTCTTCTCCTCGTCTGGCGAGGGATGAAGGAGATCCTTTGCGAGAGGCATGTTCTCGTGGAGATCATCACCGCCGGAAACTAAGACTTCTATTTCTAGCCCCTAATAACCTGATTTATTCTTTTATGAGTTTCTTTCTTCCTTTTCTTTTTGAGCTAGAAAAGTTATCAGGAAGGAAACGATGGTCTTCATTACATGAAATTCACATGATCTACCTCAATCTTTGCTCATATAACATTTTGTATAATATAGGGTACATATTATTTTGAATATTCTTTAGCGCCTTAATCTTACTGAAATTTTCTGATCAATAACGTGAATAATGGTTTTGTAATTTTCATGTATTTTCTAACCTTCCTGTTCTTCTGCAACAGGTAAGAATTTCATCATGGCCAAAGGAGAAACCAGGAAGTTGGTATAGTGAATTTAAGAGAGGAAAACTGGTACGTTACTGTCTCAATATGCAATGGATTCTCTTAGACTTCTTATCCCAGAAAACCAATGCTAAGCAGAGTTCTCCATGTTCTTATTTGTCCATCTACGACCTCAACATACTCATGTCTTAAAGCAACGTCAAGATTTTGTATCATAGTAAATACAATATGCTGAAGATTCTGAAAAAAAAAAAAGTGGCCAAATGATCAAATGAAGTTCATTAAAAACCAGAGATAGATATCAAAAAATTGATTTTTTTAAAAAATAGCAAGAACAAGAGCATAACATCCATTTAATATCTCAGACTCCACCTGTTTCCATTTCTGTGTACATGAAATCTAATTTATTCTATATTCTTCATTTTGATAAGAACTTATAGGATGTTCAAATTTTTTTCTTCATTGCTACCTTTAGGAATATAGTAAGCCAATTTACACTTTAGTTATACCACAGTTTTGCCTAAATATTTCTTTATAATTACCAATTCATTTTACCAGTTTGCTAAAGATAATGTAAAATTAAATGCTAGAAATAAAAATCACATTAAAAGCTGTTAAAAATATATATGTGATTAAGTATGAGCTACTAAAATTTTTCCACTAATCTAGATAATTATTCAATAATTTAATAGTCTTTTTAAAAGGGCATCATTTTACACTGATGGTGGTAATTTATACATTTAATTCCTTATCTATACAAACTTAGCTATATTGATTAATGATATGTAGGGAAGTTTCACTTCACATGAAATTTCTCATCAGTCTTCAAGTTACATACTAAATATCCATGGTGAATTGTTATCTCTCTGTATTAAAATATGCACCAATATATAGAATTGTGTGCATTTTCATTGATTTTATGATGTTTTGATTTGTGTAGAGCACATTTCTCAGATATAGTTTTCTTAACCTCACACAAATACTCATTATGTGTTTTTAATTGGTAAAAAAAATAAATATACTCAATTATAAGAGAGGTCTCAGAATTGCATTGATTTAATCTATAACTGAAGTTTTTGTTGTTGTTTTGTTTTGTTTTGTTTTTTGTCTTTTTGAGACAGGGTCTCCCTGTAGTCCCAGCTGTCCTGGAACTCACTCTGTAGACCAGGCTGGCCTTGAACTCACAAAGACCCACCTGCCTCTGCCTCCCAAGTGCTAGGATTAAAGGTGTGTGCCACTATGCCCTGAAGTTTTTTTTTTTTTTAATTGGACTATATATTTCACTGGAGCCCACAAATTTCAGTCATTCCCAATAAAGTATTTGCTGAAGATGAAACGTCTTAGTAATTTGCAACTAAGACTGCTTTTCTTCTCTAATACAAAATAGTATTGACAAAAATGCCCATTCTAGTTTTCTGGTGGCCTGTGATGGGTGTTGTTGATAAGGTGGTGACTACACATATATATATATATGTTTAAAAGCCTATAACTTTTGCCTTGCACTGAGATTCCTCAATTTTCTGTTCTTTTTTCTTTCTCTCCTTCTTTTTCTTTCTTTCTTTCTTTCTCTCTCTCTCTTTCTTTCTCTCTCTCTTTCTGTCTTTCTTTTTCTCTCTCTTTCTTTTTCTTTCTCTCTCTCTTTCTTTCTTTCTTTCTTTCTTTCTTTCTCTCTTTCTGTCTTTCTCTCTCTTTTTCTTTCTTTCTCTCTCTCTGTCTTTCTTTCTCTCTCTTTCTTTTTCTTTCTCTCTCTCTTTCTCTCTCTCTTTCTTTCTCTCTCTCTTTCTCTTTCTTTCTCTCTTTCTCTCTCTCTCTTTCTTTCTTTCTTTCTTTCTTTCTTTCTCTCTTTCTGTCTTTCTCTCTCTTTTTCTTTCTTTCTCTCTCTCTGTCTTTCTTTCTCTCTCTTTCTTTTTCTTTCTCTCTCTCTTTCTTTCTTTCTTTCTTTCTCTCTCTTTCTTTCTTTCTCTCTTTCTCTCTCTCTTTCTTTCTGTCTTTCTTTTGCTATTTTACTAATACAACTGCACTGAAATAAGTCTTGAAGACATTTGTTTCTTTTAGTGTTTAACTAAAAAACAAAACCATAAAGATAAAATAAATTTATTAAAAAATAAGCAACATTTATTTACAGTAACTGAAGTGGAAGATACAGGCCAGGGAGCCAAACCCCTGACTCCGTGTCTTCTGACCTCCAACTTACATTTCTTTAGAAAGTGAAATGTTTGATTGATTCCCCGAGTCCTGTGACAGTATCAGTCATTATCAGTGACTCCTTCTTTTATACCATGAAAGCTGAAATGTCTTTATGTCTCTTTTCCTTCTTTTCTTCCCAGCTTTCATATCTAGATGTTGAAGGCAATTCCATTAATATGGTGCAAATGACATTCCTGAAACTCCTGACCGCCTCTGCCCGGCAAAATTTCACTTACAATTGTCATCAGTCAACTGCCTGGTATGATGTGTCATCAGCAAGTTATGACAAAGCACTTCGGTTTCTGGGGTCAAATGATGAGGAGATGTCCCATGATAACAACCCTCATATCAAGGTGCTGTATGACGGCTGTGCGGTGAGTACAGATTTGTCTGTCTTCCTTCACAGGATTGAGAGATGAGTTGAATAACCTCTGTATGGTCCTAAGCCAGATGTCTCTCTTAAATTGATGTCAGTTATTTTTAAGATTTTATGTTTAGCACTGACATATTAAGATGTGATATTTTAAAAACCACTAAGGTTCACACGTACTCGTGCATGTTTGTGCACACACCTGCACAGATATTTTGAAATACACACATCAACATCTGGTTTTGAAGATAACATTAGGTCATGTGTTATTCTGTCTACATCTAATATTGATGACTAATACCAGTAGTTATTCTTGAAGTAAAAAAAAGAACGTTATAACATTAGCCTCTTTATGCTTTTACAGTAATAGAGGAATCACCATTGTGTCATTTACACGAGATGATTTTTACAACTGTCCATTGTTTGTAAAGACCCTGTCAACTGGCACTATCATGCCAGTTTGGATCTAATATCATTATTTTGTTTTTAATCCTCTGGATTTTTTTTTCACACATGGAAATTCCATGCATTAGCTAGTTGCTCTAACTTAGCATTAGTAACTCAAAAGAAGCCTCGATTACAAAAATCCACGCTTTTAAAATGAGTGGGTATGGTACGAGTGGAAGGAAGAAGAGAGAAATAAATAATGAGGCAGAAGCTGTGGCAAACTTTCCCAGTATAGTGTACTGTTAAATATTTGTGGAAATTAATATATAGCAGTAGAAATGTTTTGACTGATGACTTACTGCTTTGGCCATTCCTTACTGCAATTCTTTTTCTCACAACCCAATTTAGCTATACTCTGTGTGTGCTTTTATTATAACTGAGGTAGTAAGGATGTCTTATCTATACATGATCCAATGTAAACATTTCAAATTAAATTAGAAAGAGGAACTTAGTATGATTCTTTTTAAGCTTGCATACCTGAATAATTAAGTTAATATATTAAGTGTTAATGTCAGTATTCAAAGTCTAAAATTACACGAGACATTAGTGATAATAAAAGAATCATTACATAATTATTGTCAAGCCTTTTTTCTTCTCTTTTCTCTCACCTCACATCACCATCTTACAACTGTTAAGAAAATAACATGTGTTTAAATAATATTAAATGATGATGTGAATTTTAAATTTCTGATTAATTTTACAGTCCAGAAAAGGCTACGAAAAGACTGTGATTGAAATCAATACTCCGAAAATTGACCAAGTACCCATAATTGATGTAATGATCAATGATTTTGGTGATCAGAACCAGAAGTTTGGATTTGAAGTTGGTCCAGCTTGTTTTCTTGGCTAAGATTAGGACAAGTTTATCTGAAACCAACAGAAAATGCTCCTTGATGCCACCAACCTAGATCATGCCACATGCAAGTTTTGAATATGGATGGTATACAATTCAGTATATGTGTATCAGTTCCAAATTGCTGGTGCCCTTGGGAGGCACAATTTCAGGAAAGAAATTTTGGTAATCGGGAATATTTAATATAGTGTGGCTGAAATGGTGACAGGGCTGATTCTTGATTCTCAACCCTCATCTCTCCTTTTCCTATTTGGATTTCTTTGGTGCTGTAGAAAAAAAGAGAGAAAATATATATTAATAAAAACATGGTGCTCATTCCCATTCATTGAGGATATGTTAAAAATGTGTTTAATAAATTGTAATTATTTTGTGTACAGTTCAACACTGTTATTGATGGGTCCATTTCCAAAACTTACACATGTCTCTGAATCCCACCTAATTTTATGACAATTGCAGAACTGTGATGGCAATAAATATTGTATTACGAAAAGTAAAGTTGTAATTTCTGATGACTCTAATTCCCTTTCTTTAATTAATAATAAAATGCCTTTTTATTTATTGATGGTGAAGAGTTCACTTATTTGATATCACTAACAAATAACTCTGAGGGCAAAAAACCCAGATGCCTTGGGAGCACACACCAATCAACTCTTCTTTGCTGACAGTAACTTTGCTGAATTTCAGTCAAAAATATCATGCATTTTGATGCTTTCAATGCTATACCTCGAATATCTTCTTCTCAGAATCCAGGATTTCAAAGGATACTTGTATATATGGAAAACAAGAAAATTTATATTTTTGGACAGGAAAGTATGTATGAGAAACTATTTTAACAATTTGATGCCTCCATCTAGCTAATAATTTTATGTACAACTTTTTCTCTACTTAATCTAACCTCATTGACTTCCATGTGCTTCAGTAATGCAGACTAATATTAAAGATGGAATTTAAGCAATTATTTATGAATTTGTGCAATGTTAGATTTTTAGCCAATGAACTTTTGAATTTGATCTAAGTTTCATATTTATAGTACTCTCAAATGTTATTTTACTTGCCCAACTTATATCATTTCTTTCCTTGCAAGATAATTATATACATCATTTGACCAACCTAATAGCTAAAAACATTTGGGTGGACTGTATTAAAAGTCATACTTATTCAAGAAAATCAAGCCCTTTTTCTCACCAACGTATTTTCTTTCGTGTAGCTTGAAGTATAAATAAAATTTAAAATCACCAACTGAACTTTGTGTCTAAGTAATATATGTAAGACTTGAAAATAAATGTTATATTATTTCTTATATGAAGTGTTAAATTAATTGATACCAGATTTCACTGGAACATTTATCAACTGATAATTTATCACAAAACAACATAATCTGTAATACTGAAATTTAAAAGTGAACATTTGTCTTTCGTAATTTCTTTTATTTTTGAAATCAAGTTTGTAAATGTCCTTTGGAGAAGGGAGATATTAACAATAAACTCAAGTCTGGTCTACCTGGATTGGTCATTTTCTTTCTTAAACAGGTTCCAAATCACTCTCTTCTACAGAAAACGCTCTAGATTCTCATGCTTGACCATCCAGGTGAGAAGTGAGAAGTGTCTTGAACTTGTAAATAAGCACACTAGCCTTCAGAGATAAGTAGTATAAAGAAGTAAACAATTCATGGAAACACTATATTACATATATATACACGTATATGTATAGATATATATGTGTGTGTGTATATATATATATATATATATATATATAGCTTTAAAAGCAAATATAAAGTCTCAAACTTCAAACTTCAGAATTTCAGTACTAAAAATAGTCCCTTAGCCATTTTATTGAAAATAGCCTCTAAATCATATGTAAAATAGTATTTTTTTATCAAGAAAGGTTTTATACATCAGTTTACCATCGTGAATGTTTATCGATGAATGAATATTTTTACATGTTAACTTGTATCGAAGATATTTTTCTGTTTAAATTAAATCAACTTAAATTTGGCAACTGAAAACAGTGAATTCAGAGAGAAATTGAAGACCCTGTGATATGCTATTTTTTATGGACATGATTTTCAATATAACATCAGTAGTTTCTTTTTTCCTCTATGACTGATTTCATTAGGAAAAAAGTAAAATTTCACTCACCTGGGATAACATGTTTACTAGATAACATTTGAATACATGTAAGTTATCGATGTGAAAAATATAGAAATGCATTTTCACCTTGCAGGCAAGAATGGGTCATGTCTTGATGCACAGGACATATGATATAACCACCCTCTGAATAAAAATTATAAACACTGAATAAAGTGGCAGCTTATTTTCAGTGAATCAGCATTTCATCAAAATTGTTTAAATATGTTTGTGAAGATGGAGTCATGAATTAACTTTCATATATAATTCAGTAATATAGTAATCCCAATCATTTTAAGTGCTTCCTCAGGAAATTTTTATTATGAGGTGAAGTACATTTCTTTAAAATATACCATGAAAGAATTTTCAATAATCAATACTTTAGAAATGCCTCTGTTTCAAATCTTGTTATTGCTATTAGTAAATATTAGGTTATTTTAAATTTTAGGAGAAACTGTACTAAATTTCTTCCATATGATGGCTGGGGAGATGACTCAGAGGTCAAGAGCACTGGATGCACTTGCACATGAACTGGGTTCAGTTTTCAAGCCCCCACATGACAACTAACAACCATCTGTAATTCCAATTCCAGGGGATCCAATGCCCTCTTCTGGACTTTACAGGCATTGCATGCATGTGGTATGCTTAGATGTATGCAGGCAAAACACAATTTTTTTTAAAAAAGTATGAAATTTAAAAAGCTCAATAAAAATTACTAAAAGAAATAAAAAATAAATTTCTTTTATATGTTCATATGAGATTTTCAAGAACTTTTCACACAAGATATTCCAATTCTGTGTATTTTAAGTCTTGTTTCTCCACAGCTATAGATAGATTCATGCTCAGATCACCATACGACAAGCACACCATGGTGTGAGCACTGTCATTACTCCCTGTGGCCATCATGGCATGGATAGTGATAGAATTCTTTAGAAAGCCATTGCCACACTGGGATTGTAACATCAATATATATCTAATTTACTGAAAGTCATATAATTATACACCACCTTGTGAAATTATTATACTAATGCCAAGTGACCAACCTTAACTGAATGTCAGTGGCTGCTTCTACATCAGATACAAGGGAAAGTGGTAAGAAGAAATCTAGGGGGAAACACAATTCTCTGAACTGACCATATGGTGAAAACATGTCATGAACATGTGAGTGACTTTTTCAAAACACTTATATGGTCTTAAACTAAACCATTCAGGAGAATTGTCTTGAACTTTGTTTCATTAGCTTCATTGAATCTTTCTGCTGTAGGCAGAATAATTGCAAAATCATTATTTCAGAGATCAGCCCATAGAAGAGCTAAATAACAGCTGTTGCTGGGCATTTCCTAGTGCCTGTGTTATCACTACAGTGTCAGTTCCTTATATGCAGCTAATAGCATATGTGGAAGCCCACTGCCCAGAACATATGTAAAGATTGAATTGTTCAAAATTAAATCTTGGGAATGAATGATGGCTCAGTAGTTAAGAGCAATGGCTGCCCTTGCAGAGGACCCAGGTTCGGTTCCCAGCACCTATATGGCAGCTAACAGTGGTCAGTAACACCAGGTCCAGGGTATCCAACTTCCTCTTCTGACCTCCATGGGCATAGCACACACATGGTACACTTAATTCCATGCAGGCAACACACTCATGCATATAAAAGAAAAATAAGTAAATCAAAAAACAATTAGAAACATTCATCTTTACACTCATTGTATGATTACAAACATCACCTTTATCTCATCTACTAGCTTTAGATGCAAATAATAACACACAATGGCACAAGTGATTTAGTATTCGGGAAGTCTGAACTCACCAGAGCAACTTCTTCAAGTCAAGTCTCTTTTCCATATATCAAACTGTTCTACCTTTTAGAAAGATGAGTTGGACATGTTCAGAAATTGCTCAATTATTTTTTATTTTTGGGTTTGGGGGGATTGTGTCATTTTATTTTTGAGATAGGGTCTCCCAATAGCCTCAGCTGGTCTGAAACTCCCTAGGTGAAGCAGGCTGGCCTTGATCTCACAGAGAACTGCTTGCCTCTTCTGGAAATAAAGGCATGCACTACCATGCCTGAGATCGATCAACATTTACATTTTGTTCATCCTCTCTCCAGGCATGGACTATGAGATGAACCATAGTTTGGTGGAGCTACAGCCCAAAGAGCCAGACAGATTGCAGGACAATTTACAATCAATTACCTGACAGAAACAGAAACGTCCCCTGCATACATTACAACTTCAATAATTAGTATCTAGCAATCCCTGCAGAATTCTTATTTATGGTCTAATAAATCCAGCAGTCAATATTTATAAAGAGATTTAGACAGGACAAAAAAGCAGTGGCAGAAAAAAGTTACAGACCCACCTTTTTCCTTTAAAAATCTCAAATTGCATTCATTTCAACAATATTTCATATTACTATAACTGAAGCTTATTTTATAGCACGCTTATAAGGCCATTTGTGCCCAAAAGATGATTGACATGAAGACAAACAAAGTATTCATCCCTATTTTCTTTCTTTTTTCTTTTTTAAATTGCATATTGGTGTATTTCATACAGAACAGCCCAATCAATCTTAATCATCTTTATACCCCTTTCCCTAGTGGCAACTCTCACAACCCCTCCCATTGGACCATAAATTCTGTCATTTGTCTTAAGGCCTATTGTTTCAAGGTAGTGTCCCCAGATGTCCCTCAGTGCAAGTTCATAATTACTTTGTATGCCTATAATTAAAGAGGCAGGCAGCATTTCTGTCCATAGTGGAAAGATTTATATTTATCAAATAACAAATTAAACTCATGTCCCTTTACCTCTTACACAGTGGGATGCTATTGTGCACTCTGAGCTGAATTTACTAGCATATTAGTCTCAGGTATAAATAAAATCTTTAGATCTGTTTTTATTGATCTTTTTTTAAATCAATTTTTGTATCTCACAAGGGAATATTTTTGGAGCAAAAATAAAATTCATTGAAATGGTAGAAATTTTATGCAACATATATATGATGTCCCAACTTTAAATTTATTGAAACAAGAGGTTCAGTAAGGAAATGTATTTGTAGAAACCTTCAGCCAGCATCAATCATCATCTAGGTCTTTGTTTTTGGTTTTTTTTTTTCTTTTTTTTGAGACAGGATATTCCTGCAGTCCTGGGGGCTAGGTTCCAATGGAAGTCATGTTTAGCATGACTCTTTTGGCATATTTTCTAGAAGTAACACTGTCAATGGATCAATGATATGCATCAACTGATGAGACCCAAGTTCCAAGAAGCTAAAGAAATTTAGACAAGTGGAAGCATTTGAATTATGGCAATAATATCTGATTTTTTATCATGAAGTGATAACTAAAAACAATTTGGAGGAGGAGCTAAAGGGAGGAGTTGGAATGAATAAGCTCAAAATGCATTGTATGCATGTGTGAAACTCTCAAAGCATTAATAAAATATGGTCTAAAAAGCAATTTGGGGAAGATGGATATATAT